GTGTACACCTGTAAACCACTTGTGCTTTCTCTTATGTTGACCATGTTCCTGTCTTTTTCAGCTACGCCACCTCCAACCACTACAGGTGAGTTCCAGATTTACTCTCCTCATTATTATACTGTGAGAACCTAGTTAAATATCCAAACTCCAAGGACTACAGGTGAATTCCAGAGTTACTCTCCTCATTATTATACTGTGAGAACCTAGTTAAATGTCCCATCTCCAATGACTACAGGTGAATTCAAGAGTTACTCTCCTCATTATTATACTGTGAGAACCTAGTTAAATGTCCTATCTCCAATGACTACAGGTGAATTCCAGAGTTACTCTCCTCATTATTATACTTATTATACTGTGAGAACCTAGTTAAATGTCCTATCTCCAATGACTACAGGTGAGTTCCAGAGTTACTCTCCTCATTATTTTACTGTGAGAACCTGGTTAAATGTCCCATCTCCAATGACTACAGGTGAGTTCAAGAGTTACTCTCCTCATTATTTTACTGTGAGAACCTGGTTAAATGTCCCATCTCCAATGACTACAGGTGAGTTCAAGAGTTACTCTCCTCATTATTATTCTGTGAGAACCTAGTTAAATGTCCTATCTCCAATGACTACAGGTGAATTCAAGAGTTACTCTTCTCATTATTATACTGTGAGAACCTAGTTAAATGTCCTATCTCCAATGACTACAGGTGAATTCAAGAGTTACTCTCCTCATTATTATACTGTGAGAACCTAGTTAAATGTCCTATCTCCAATGACTACAGATGAATTCCAGAGTTACTCTCCTCATTATTATACTGTGAGAACCTAGTTAAATGTCCTATCTCCAATGACTACAGGTGAGTTCAAGAGTTACTCTACTCATTATTATACTGTGAGAACCTAGTTAAATGTCCCATCTCCAATGACTACAGGTGAGTTCCAGAGTTACTCTCCTTATTATTTTACTGTGAGAACCTGATTAAATGTCCTATCTCCAATGACTACAGGTGAATTCAAGAGTTACTCTCCTCATTATTATACTGTGAGAACCTGGTTAAATGTCCCATCTCCAATGACTACAGGTGAATTCAAGAGTTACTCTCCTCATTATTATACTGTGAGAACCTGGTTAAATGTCCCATCTCCAATGACTACAGGTGAGTTCCAGAGTTACTCTCCTCATTATTTTACTGTGAGAACCTGGTTAAATGTCCCATCTCCAATGACTACAGGTGAGTTCAAGAGTTACTCTCCTCATTATTATTCTGTGAGAGCCTAGTTAAATGTCCTATCTCCAATGACTACAGGTGAGTTCAAGAGTTACTCTACTCATTATTATACTGTGAGAACCTAGTTAAATGTCCCATCTCCAATGACTACAGGTGAGTTCAAGAGTTACTCTCCTCATTATTATACTGTGAGAACCTAGTTAAATGTCCAATCTCCAAGTCTTGACAGGTGTTAGGTGTTTGGTGCTAATCCACATTTTAGACTGATCAACACTTGATCGATGACATGATCGACAACACCATACTGCCGACTTTACCTCCTTGCATATTTCTTCGAACCTATTTTAGCAAAGACAAACCAGCAGGACCAGTGGAACAAGTGGGACAATGGGACCAGTGGCACAGCAGGACCAGTGGAACAAGTGGGACAATGGGACCAGTGGCACAGCAGGACCATTGGAACAAGTGGGACAATGAGACCAGTGGCACAGCAGGACCAGTGGAGCAAGTGGGACAATGAGACCAGTGGCACATCAGGACCAGTGGAACAAGTGGGACAATGAGACCAGTGGCACATCAGGACCAGTGGAACAAGTGGGACAATGAGACCAGTGGCACAGCAGGATCAGTGGAACCAGTGGGACAATGGGACCAGTGGCACAGCAGGACCAGTGGAGCAAGTGGGACAATGGGACCAGTGGCACAGCAGGACCAGTGGAACAAGTGGGACAATGGGACCAGTGGCACAGCAGGACCAGTGGAACAAGTGGGACAATGGGACCAGTGGCACAGCAGGACCAGTGGAACAAGTGGGACAATGGTACCAGTGGTACAGCAGGATCACTGGGACTAGGTGTCCCCAGTTGTCCCACATGTTTGTTTGCAACAATGGGCTTGAATTGTATTTGGACCCATGACCAACAGACGCTGGTCTAGCCCAGCTCCTTCTTTGTGTTTTAATTGGCATCATGTGCCGGTGTCCGGCTCCCCTGGGAATGGACATTCAAGGGACAGGTTGACAACTTGGACATTGACATCACGTGACATGTGCATGGACTGGCAATGATACCTACGGTACTTAGGCTGACACTGTGTTACTGCCAGCACTCGCGCATGTGTGTGTGTGTGTATGTGTGTGTGTAGTGGGGGAGGGGCAGGGGGTGACACCAGGGAAATAGGATTGCAGTTATGTGTGTGTAGTGGGGGAGGGGTGGCACCAGGGAAATAGGATTGCAGTTATGTGTGTGTGTGTAGTGGGGGAGGGGTGGCACCAGGGAAATAGGATTGCAGTTATGTGTGTGTGTAGTGGGGGAGGGGTGGCACCAGGGAAATAGGATTGCAGTTATGTGTGTGTGTAGTGGGGGAGGGGTGGCACCAGGGAAATAGGATCGCAGTTATGTGTGTGTGTAGTGGGGGAGGGGTGGCACCAGGGAAATAGGATTGCAGTTATGTGTGTGTGTAGTGTGGAGGGGGGAGGGGTGGCACCAGGGAAATAGGATTGTGGTTATGTGTGTGTGTAGTGTGGAGGGGGGAGGGGTGGCACCAGGGAAATAGGATTGTGGTTATGTGTGTTTAGGTTTTAGGTGTACAAATACAAGCAATAACAGCAGCAGCACTAATGAGTGTCTGTGTGTGTGTCTGTCTCTGAATCTCTGTGTGTCTGTATGTATGCCTAGAATATTGACTGTAGTGATGCCCAGAATATTGACTGTACTGATGTCAAGAATATTGACTGTACTGATGTCAAGAATATTGACTGTACTGATGTCAAGAATATTGACTGTACTGATGCCCAGAATATTGACTGTACTAATGTCCAGAATATTGACTATACTAATGTCCAGAATATTGACTGTACTAATGTCCAGAATATTGACTGTACTAATGTCCAAAATATTGACTGTACTGATGTCCAAAATATTGACTGTACTGATGCCCAGAATATTGACTGTACTGATGCCCAGAATATTGACTGTACTTATGCCTATAATATTGACTGTACTGATGCCCATAATATTGACTGTACTGATGCCCATAATATTGACTGTACTGATGCCCATAATATTGACTGTACTGATGCCCATAATATTGACTGTACTGATGCCCATAATATTGACTGTACTGATGCCCAGAATATTGACTGTACTGATGCCCAGAATATTGACCCTACTGATGTCCACAATATTGACTGTACTGATGTCCAAATTATTGACTGTACTGATGCCTAGAATATTGACTGTACTGATGCCCAGAATATTGACTGTACTGTACTGATGTCAAGAATATTGACTGTACTGATGTCAAGAATATTGACTGTACTGATGCCCAGAATATTGACTGTACTGATGTCCAGAATATTGACTGTACTGATGTAGAGGGAGCTGATTTGACAACCATTCTCAAAATACTTCACATTCTCTTTCTGAGATAAGATTTATGTCTGTGTAAAATGATGATGAAATGTAAAGATATGGGTAGAGTGTTGCCATGTGATATATAATTGTACTTATCACATAAATATGCAATAGTTGTGGGAGAAACGAGTGGCAGTCGTGTGAGATATGTGCAGTAGCTGTGTGAGAAATATATTCTGTTAATATGATGATCTGATACTAAACTGTGTGGAACCTGCAGAACGCAACATCTGTGAGAGCGAGGACAACCCCTGTCAGCAAGTATGTACCAACAGCCCGCAAGGTGCCGTCTGCTCCTGCAACAATGGAAGTGTGGTGGTTCCATCTGACCCTACACAGTGCAAAGGTAAACATTCTCCTGTTCACTACGCCAGTCACATGATGATAATATCAAAAACATGGTTCGACATGGTTGGGGTTTCATTGGATGAGCTTCCTGACACATGTTTTATATGGGGTGCAGGGGGGATATGTGCGCCTTGTTTAAGTGTGTATAGGGGCTGCAGGGGTATGGGGGCTGCGGGGGTTTGGGGGCTGCAGTCGTTTGGGGGCTGCAAGGGGTTTGGGGGCTGCAAGGGTATGGATACTGCCTAATCTTCTTACACATTAGGGAAGGGGGTGAGTTGATATGCAAACACACATACACCTGCGTGCATGCATGTACACACACATAGATGCATGTAAACACACACACACACACCATCATCATGTAGCAGTTCTTTTGCAGAATGTCGCTCTCATCACTGTCTGCCTGGAGGAAAAACTTGGTCTCTCAACAGCTCTCCCACGTTGTGCATTTTCATACCCAAAGTGTCACCTTTACAATTTGCCCACCTTTATGCTGGTTGGCTCCTGCCTGTCCTTCCTGGTACCAAGCCTTCTGCTAATAATTTTTCTCCTGGTCCTTGGTATGGCCCAAAATATTTTTGCTCCTAAGACAGTATGCTGTTTATTAGCCAATCTTACACACACATACATACATACATACATACATACATACATACATACATACATACATACATACATACATACATACATACATACATACATACATACATACATACATACATACATACATACATACATACATACATACATACATACATACATACATACATGCATACACACATGCATACATACATACATACATACATTTAAACACACAAATATACATACAAAATACATATTTATCTCTGTGTGTGTATATGTATGCATGTGTGTGTGTGTGTGTGGTGTATGTGTGAAAGGTTTCTGTAACTGAACATACTTGTGTCTTGAGTTGCTCCAGAAAATGATGCTCTACTTCCAGAGCCCAGCTGTGAGGACACTGTGGTGGCCGACATCTATTGCCTAGCTGACTCCTCCAACAGCATCTTTCCAGTCGGATGGACTCGCACGCTTAATTTTGTCGTCAACATAATCAAGGCCTTCAATCTAGGCCGCAAAAAAGTACAGGTCGCCTTTGGGATATTCAGCACAAAGTTCGAGCATCGCATATCTTTGGGCAATTACACAGACCATGAACAGTTTACTAAGGTCAGTTCATCCACCCACATTACGCTGCCTGCATACTAGCTTATCTCATCTTCTTTAGGCTTGATCTTAATGATAAAAAAAAAAAAAAAAAGAAGAACTTCCTGCCTCTTTCAACCGGCTCCTAGATTGGGCAGTGGTTATATCGAGGTCGGTGTTTTGGTGTCTGGAATTCGTTTTCCAGTTATTGACGTTTCTGTGCGACGATCACATTACGCCTGAGATTTTGTTGCTGCTGTCAGGGTGAGGAAAGGGATCTCGGTCTGCCCTAAAAAGGGCGGACCAAAGCCTTGGGACGGCCTGGATCGGGTGAGGTGGGAGTGGCTTTGGCGGTGGACATCGTGTCGTCTGGTTGTGGGCTGTGAGGTTTCTCCGGGCTGGTGGGCGGGCTTGGTCAGCTGTCATGGCGGCTTGGGCGGTTTTTCATTGGTGACTGGTTTTCACTGTGTCTTCTTTAGTATTGGGAGTTCTTTCGTCTGCCTCGCTTGCCTTGGGGTGTTTGCCAGTGGGCCTGCTCGTTTGTTGTGGGCGTTTTAAATCTCCAGTAGGTGTTTCCCGTTTCTTCGTCTATCTCCTCTATCTTGTAAGGTTCTATTCGGGCCCATGCCTCTGCCAGTTGTGCTTGTATGACTTTGTCTGCTTCCATCTTTTTGTCCAGTTGGCGTCTTTCTTCTTGGGTGGCCTCGAGGAGGGTCCTCAGCCCTTTAAGGCTGTGCTCCCCACTATGGGCTTCTGTGTCCTGGTCTGTACCTTTGACGGTTCAGTCAGCTGCGCCTGATATTTTACTGCTTTTGCTTCAGTGATTGTCCCTTTATCCGCCTTCTGCGTTGATTTGTCTGTGTGGGTGCTTTTGTCAGCCCTGCTGACACTTAGGTTCTTTGTTGCTATGCTGACTGCCGTCCTTTCTTTCTGTAATAGGTCGCGCTCTGTTCTGGTAGCCATCTCAGCCGCGACTGCCTCTGCCTTAGCCTGCACAAGTCGGGTGACCTCTCTGTATGCTTCTTCTCTCGCCTTTTTCAGCACTGCCATCTCTCTGCTTCTCTCCTCTCTCTCCTTCTGTCTGCGTCTTTTGTCTGCTGTCTGGGCCGCTGCCAAACTTGCAATTAAATTGCTGACGCTATCTTTGGTTGCCTTGGCTTCTTTCTGGTTTTCGCTTAGCTGTGCAGTAAACGCTATCCTGTCATCTTTCAGGGTTTTAATTTCTCCTAGCAACAGGGAGATAAGTTCATGCGTTTCTGCCATTTCAGCAGCAGCGATGGTTTTCTGTGTCTGGAGCTCTGTCTTTAGTTCCGTGATTATCTTCGCAAGTTCAGGGTCTCTGGTGGTAGCATCCTTCTCTGGCGTTTTGCTTTTGGCTGGGCGGGCGGGTCGGCATTTTGTGCTGCTTGGTCTGGGTGCCACGTACCTCTGCTGGTGGTTGAATCGGTCAGTTGCTAGCGCCAACTTGATCTCTTTGAGGTACGGGCAGCCCATGTACCTCGCGCTGTGGGCCCCTGCACAGTTTGAACACCGTCTTCTTGAGTTTGGTCTCTTGAAGTCCGGGTCCTCCTTGGCCAGAGGGCATTCCTTAAAGTCATGTGCCTGGAAACAGTATCTGCATGCTAGGCTGCTGCGGCAAGTCGCGGCGGTATGCCACGCCTTGTTACAGCGTGAGCACTGCAGAATCTCAGTACTGTGGGTTCCCGGTCGCTGCTGCTGCCTGAGTGGGCGGGTGTTGGTGGCTTCCTCCGCCACGACTGGGGCGGCTTCTAGGGAGACTGGTGCCTCGATAGGGCCTACATCCAGGGCTGGCGGCGTCTGGGTGAGTGAGGCTAGCGTCTCTTCCTGATCGTCGATCGGTTCTGGCATCATCAGGGCTGGTGCGACAACATGTGCCAGCATGAAATCATCATATGTTGTTCAACATGTGCCAGCATGAAATCATCATATGTTGTTCAACATGTGCCTGCATGAAATCATTGTATGTTGTTCAACATGTGCGTGCATGAAATCATCATATGTTCTTCAACATGTGCCTGCATGAAATCATCATATGTTGTTCAACATGTGCCAGCATGAAATCATCATATGTTGTTCAACATGTGCCTGCATGAAATCATCATATGTTGTTCAACATGTGCCAGCATGAAATCATCATATGTTGTTCAACATGTGCCAGCATGAAATCATCATATGTTGTTCAACATGTGCCTGCATGAAATCATTGTATGTTGTTCAGCATGTGCCTGCATGAAATCATCATATGTTGTTCAACATGTGCCTGCATGAAATCATTGTATGTTGTTCAACATGTGCCTGCATGAAATCATCATATGTTGTTCAACATGTGCCAGCATAAAATCATCATATGTTGTTCAACATGTGCCTGCATGAAATCATTGTATGTTGTTCAACATGTGCCTGCATGAAATCATCATATGTTGTTCAGCATGTGCCAGCACGAAATCATTGTATGTTGTTCAACATGTGCCAGCATGAAATTATCATATGTTGTTCTACATGTGCCTGCATGAAATCATTGTATGTTGTTCAGCATGTGCCAGCATGAAATCATCATATGTTGTTCAACATGTGCCTGCATGAAATCATTGTATGTTGTTCAACATGTGCCAGCATGAAATTATCATATGTTGTTCAGCATGTGCCAGCACGAAATCATTGTATGTTGTTCAACATGTGCCAACATGAAATTATCATATGTTGTTCAACATGTGCCTGCATGAAATCATCATATGTTGTTCAGCATGTGCCTGCATGAAATCATCATATGTTGTTCAACATGTGCCTGCATGAAATCATCATATGTTGTTCAGCATGTGCCTGCATGAAATCATTGTATGTTGTTCAACATGTGCCTGCATGAAATCATTGTATGTTGTTCAACATGTGCCTGCATGAAATCATTGTATGTTGTTCAACATGTGCCTGCATGAAATCATTGTATGTTGTTCAACATGTGCCTGCATGAAATCATTGTATGTTTTTCAACATGTGCCTGCATGAAATCATCATATATTGTACCACATTTACAATAAAGCTGTGTTACCCAAAGAATATGTTGCATTACCTGTACATTGAATGTATTCTAATAATGATTTATATTGTGTATCTCATCCACTATGAATTCTCACTACACAGGATGTACTGCAGACGCCCCAGCTGAAGGAGCTGACCTACACCTTCGATGCTCTCAACGCCATCAACAGTGAAGGGTTTCTCACCTCAGTCAAGCATGGCGCCAGAGATGGCGTGCCCAAGGTGCTCATCGTCCTCACTGACGGACAGTCACAAGACATTTCCAGAAGTAAGTCACTTTGTCTAGTCTCTGAAGAACATTTCTAGATGTAAGTCACATTTGTCTAATCTTTGGAAGGCATTACTAGAAGTAATTCCGTTTGTCTAATCTCTGGAAGACATTACTAGAAGTGAGTCACTTTGTCTAATATCTGGACGACATTACTAGAAGTGAGTTACTTTGGCTAATCTCTGGAAGATATTATTAGAAGTAAGTCACTTTGTCTAATCTCTGGAAGACATTACTAGAAGTAAGTCACTTTGTCTAATCTCTAGAAGACATTATTAGAAGTAAGTAACTTTGTCTAATCTCTGGAAGACATTACTAGAAGAGAGTCTTTTTTTATAATCTCTGGAAGACGTTACTTGAAGTGAGTCACTTTGTCTAATCTCTGGAAGACATTACTAGAAGTGAGTCACTTTGTCTAATCTCTGGAAGACATTACTAGAAGTGAGTCACTTTGTCTAATCTCTGGAAGACGTTACTAGAAGTAAGTCATTTTGTCTAATTTCTGGAAGACATTACTAGAATTGAGTCACTTTTTACAATCTTTGGAAGACATTACTAGAAGTGAGTCACTTTGTCTAATCTCTGATAGACATTACTAGAAGTGAGTCACTTTGTCTAATCTCTGGAAGACATTACTAGAAGTAAGTCATTTTGTCTAATCTCTGGAAGACATTACTAGAACTGAGTCACTTTGTATAATCTCTGGAAGACATTACTAGAACTGAGTCACTTTTTATAATCTCTGGAAGACATTACTAGAACTGAGTCACTTTTTATAATCTCTGGAAGACATTACTAGAAGTGAGTCACTTTGTCTAATCTCTGGAAGACATTACTAGAAGTGAGTCACTTTAAACAATCTCTGGAAGACATTACTAGAAGTGAGTCACTTTGTCTAATCTCTGGAAGACATTACTAGGAGTAAGTCACTTTGTCTAATCTCTGGAAGACATTACTAGAAGTGAGTCAATTTGTCTAATCTTTGGAAGACATTACTAGAAGTAAGTTACTTTGTCTAAACTCTGGAAGACATTACTAGAAGTGAGTCACTTTGTCTTATCTCTGGAAGCCATTACTAGAAGTAAGTCACTTTGTCTAATCTCAGGAAGACATTACTAGAAGTGAGTCACTTTGTCTAATCTATGAAAGACATTACTAGAAGTGAGTCACTTTGTCTAATCTCTGGAAGACATTACCAGAAGTAAGTCACTTTGTCTAATCTCTGGAAGACATTACCAGAAGTAAGTCACTTTGTCTAATCTCTGGAAGACATTACCAGAAGTGAGTCACTTTGTCTAATCTCTGGAAGACATTACTAGAAGTAAGACACTTTGTCTAATCTTCAGAAGACATTACTAGAAGTGAGTCACTTTGTCTAATCTCTGGAAGACATTACTAGAAGTGAGTCACTTTGTCTAATCTCTGGAAGACATTACTAGAAGTGAGTCACTTTGTCTAATCTCTGGAAGACATTACTAAAAGTGAGTCACTTTGTCTAATCTCTGGAAGACATTACTAGAAGTGAGTCACTTTGTCTAATCTCTGGAAGAGTTTACTAGTAGTGAGTCACTTTGTCTAATCTCTGGAAGACATTACTAGAAGTGAGTCACTTTGTCTAATCTCTGGAAGACAATACTAGAAGTGAGTCACTTTTGTCTAATCTTTGGAATACATTACTAGAAGTAAGTCAATTGGTCTA